TCCCTCCCTCCCCCCCAGCCCACCCAGCTGATGTGCGACACAATGACGTGAGTGTGCTGCGCTGCGTGCGATGCGTGTGTAAGGCGGGCGGAGCTGCTACCTACCGTGTCTTCATACACACCGACCGGCACTATGGCATACATACCGTGGTGAGTGAGGTATTTGCTGAAGGCAGGCAGGCAGGGAGGCACACATACATTCACACATACACACATACATACAATCACATGCGTACATACTTACACAACATACATACTCACTCCTGCCTGGCAATTAGCTCAAGTGCGTAGGGCACCCCATGGGCGTCTTGGTTGGTTGGTCAGATTGGTGCATACTCTCTCTCTCTCTCCCGTTCCCCCCGACCTGTCTGTCTGCCGCTGTTTGGTGCGGTGTGTTGTGTTGTGGCGTGGCGTGGCGTGGCGTGGCGTGGCTGTCCGGCTTGCCTGTCGGTTCAGGCTGCCCGCCTGCCTTGTATCTATAGCTGAGGTTGATCTCACTCACTCACTCTCACTGACTGACTGACTTGTAAAGCTAGCCTGGCAAGCTAGTTTAGTGCGCAAACGACAATGGCCGGATTGATGGGCATATGGGATGGGTGTGGTGTGCGTGTGATGTCATTCATGTCATCTGTGTGTGGTGTGTGTCATGTGTGTGCACTGTTTGTTCTCCGCCAGCCGCCACTGCATGTATGTATGTGTGTATGTATGTGTTGTGTGGATGGATGGATGGATGGATGGGTGAACAGGTGTGGGTGTGGGTGGGTGGGTGTTGATGGTCTAATCCCTCTCTTGTCTGTCTGTATGAAGTGTTATAACAACTGCGATCATCCCTGTCTGGCGAATGCACATAACGGGCGAGCCACTGAGTGAGCCCTGTGCATGACCTCTCTCTCTGTCTGCCTGCCTGCCTGCCTCCCTGCGTCATGTCTGAGCTCTCTCTCTCTCCGGCTGCATGCTTTTTCTCATGGCTGCCTGGATGGGTGCGGTGCTGTCTTGTCTAGCCTAGTGACTGATGATGCGTTAAACGAGATGCAATCCAATGGAGTGCATGCCATGCCTGTGCGCGTTGAGCAATGAACGGGGAAAGCTCCCGCAAGCGAAGCGAGTACTGTTCATTGATCCGCGTGTGTGCATGTCATGTGTGCTGGATGGACGGAGGTGTCCATCCGTTGTGTGTGTGTGTGGATACACGGCCCCTCTCTGCTGGCAGGAACCTACAACATGTACTGATTGGCGAATGAATGGTGTGCCGCATCGATCTCGCCTGCACTCCGTCTGTGTCTCGCTGAGTGAGAGGGAAAAGGTGGCGGCAACGTGTCTGATAGACAGACTGTGCGGTCACTCTTTCTTGCCTCACTCACTCGGGGGATATATGCGTGTGCGGGTGGGGTGGGTGCACCGCCCATTTGCCAGCGAGGGCACGGCCAGCATTGAGGGGCGGTGGTTGTGCAGTCAGGGTGTCGATAGGCTCGCTCGTGTGCCCAACCCTACATCTTAGATCTTCCTGGCCGGCTACATGTCTCCCACGTGATTCGTTTTGTTTGCAATGCTTGTGCGTGTCGAGGAGATGCATTAAGATGGGTGGACGGGGTCATGACAGACAGACAGACAGACAGCCATGTACCTACGCGGCGAATGTGATGGAGAAATGACCACTCATGCCATGGTCAACCATGTTGTTGTGCAGCGTCGTGGACCGGTGTTCCGTTTTGGGCGGTTGCCTAACGATGCCTGCATGTGGTGCGCGTACTCAAGGGCATTCAAAATCACCTCATCCCTCTCTCTCGTGCGATTGCCAAACAACAGCACACACGACACTGAAGGACCGACCCACTGCCAAAGGACGGCGACAGAGAAACACCCACCCCTCTTGACCAAAAGGGCCGATATATAAAAACATAGGTACGGGCAGGCAGGCAGGCAGGCAGGCAGGAAGCTAGGCAAAAGAGGCACTGATGGGACGCGACAGACACGATGGCTGCCTGCCTGGCTGCAGCATGGAAGTGTCCATCTGTGCACGCATGTGCACCGTATCTCTCATACGTCGATCTGTTCGCTGGCGTATTTGGTCTCCACTTGACCAGCCTGCCTGACCAGCTCGGCCTTTGCCGTGGCTCCGTCTCCATCTCTGCAGCACAGCATCAATCCGTGACAGAACAGACACAAACATACACACATGTATGTGATGTGTGTGCAGGCGACTCGTCTGCGTCTCTGTCTGTCGGGGTGGATTATCTTGTTCGTTCTCACCCCTTGGCTGCGTGAAGATACAGCGCTTTCAGTATCGCGTAGCACTGCAACACACACACACACACACACAATCAATCATTGGGGAGGGGGTTGTGGGAGGTTGTGGGTGGGTGTGGTGGTGGATTTGACGCATATACCGCACCCACCGGCACGTGTGCTGCACGCGGCTCGTTCATTCGGCTGTCGATGAGTGAGGACACTTTCGCCATGTCGGGTGAGGGCGGCGATGCCCCCTCGGCCAGCGCCAGCACACCGGCGTGCAGAAACATCTCCCTTATAACATCTGCCCGACCGACCGACGGATAGACAGCATGCAGCCAGCAGACACCCACCGTTGGATGCACATCAAGCAAGGGCTATCTATTGGTCTGCCTGTCTGTGCGACTGACTGTGTGGCGTGCCTACCACATTGCTCGTATGATGCGAACAGGTACTTGAGGTCATCAAGGACGGCAGCCAGCTCACTCACCTGCACACACACACACACACCCCTTCCAGTCGTGCATCATGCACAGATGGATGGATGGACGAATGGCTGCTGGGCGCACTCACCGTTGCAATGAAGTCTTGTTGCGCCCACGCGCGGCTGCCCCTCATTGCCCCCAGCCATGCATCACCTACACAGAAACACACAGCACATCCTCTCTCTCATGGATCAACATATATATGCTGTCTTTCTGGCCGACCGGCTGTCTTCCTCTTGGCTGGCATGCCCTTGGCAATCGACTCAACCTCAGAGATCATCTTGGTTGCAGTCTCATCGTTACCTACGTTAGTTAACAGAGAGAGGCACACAGACATCGTGCGTGGATCTGATCTCATAATGAGTGCCTGTGTGCTCTGCCGTTCTGACTCACTGACCAGTGATGGTGAATGCGGCCACAGAAAGGACGTCGAAGAGCGGCTCGTAGTGCGACTGGAGATTGGTCGCCGACGCGCGACCCAACACAACCTGCATGCCCGCCCGGATAGACAAGTCGGCCGATCCAGATAGATAGCAGTCTCAAGACATATGGGCGTTGCGTCGTGTAGGTACGGTAGGTACCTTCATGGCGGCTTTGATGTCCTCCACCGAAGGCTCAGACACACTCCGAGCACCGCCACCGAGCCATTCCTGTCTGTAATGCTCGATGAACACCTGACAGCACAACGCACAAATTCCAACCACGGTAATGTTGCACCCCTCCCCCTCCCTCACCAGCCGAATGTAGAGTTTGACGAGCAGTCCCAGCGCTCCCATCTGGTCCTGTATGTTGGTGGGGTCGCACTTGCCGCGCCCCTCCCACACCCGCTCCTTGTACAGCCGCCACGCGTCCCCATACCGGTTCATGTCGAGATGGAACAGCGCCACGTGCCACCAGTTGTGGGTGTACAGGAACGAGCACAGCGGCCGATCGTCCCAGTAATGCGCATACGAGAGCAAAGTGCGCGCGCCCTCCGCCAGCCTGCCCGCGTTGTAGTCGGCGTGCGCCAGGCCGTGGTGCGCCCATGCGTCATCCTGCTTCAGCACCACACCCCTCTTTGCGGCCTCGTGTGCGGCATCTGCTTGCCCGTTCTGCTCGAGGCCGAAGCTGAGCATGGCGTGGTAGTAGGGGCTCGACTCATGGCTGCTCGCCACCTGGTCAAGCTGGCAGACGGAGAGCATCTCGGGCACACTGCCTGCGGCGAAATAGAGCAGCTGAGACCGCTTGAGAGCGAACAGGTCCTTTGGGTAGTGTCGGAGCACTTCCTGACACACAAAATGGAAACACGTACAAAACAGACAGATCATCTTTGAACGGTCTCATCTCACCTGGTACGTCTGTGCGGCCTTGTCGGGGTCGCCCTGGCAGATCCACGCATCCATCGCCTTCATATACAGCTGCGCCCGCGGATCAATGTCCGACACTCCCTGGCTGTCCCTGGTCATGGCTGCAATGAGAGATGCCGCCGCAGGTATGTCATACGAGCAGATGGTGCCGTCGGCCTCTGCGATGCGGGCGAACCAGCTGCCGGGATCTTTCGAGTGAGCCTCCTCGCCCGCATGCCACTCTGTGCCGTAGGTGAGGACGCAGTCGATGTAATTGCGATAGGCACTTGCTGCTGCTTCGTTCGACGTGTCCAGCGTATAGCCGAACTGGTCTTGCAGCATGATATCACCCGTCGACTCTCGTGGTTGGTTGGTTAGTGTGTTTAACGAGACTCGTGTCTGTAACCCCGGAGGGATCCTGTTGTTGTGGACTTCCCGGTTGGCTGCCGTCGAGAATTCGAGACGCGAGAATCTGAGACGCCCCCTCCTTCCCTTTTTTCTTTTTTCCTCTCTCCTTTTTCGTCCTTTGGCGAATTTGTTGCCTTGTTTTACATGACCGCCATCCGCCTCGCATCCCTTGTCGCCCTCGTCCTCTCGGCTGCCAGCGCCAGCGCCACCGCCATGCCGCCTCGCGATGGCATCCGCATGTCGGACGTGATGCCACTGCCAACTGGTTTTTTGTGATGCCGCCCGCGCATCAGCACATCATCCCATTGATAGACCACCGGGAGATATACGGGTATTGCTTGAATTTTTAGGCCCGGAACCACTACACAAACAGCCACATCACCATCCTGTTCGAATACTACCTCGTCTTCACAATACAGTACCTAAACATCCCCAATGGACAAGTTCGCATCACCGGCCGGCTTCAAGTATGTAGCCCAAGTAGTGGGCTGGGCTGTCATGTGCACTGTTTTCTTGCTGTTTTCTGTGTGTTGCCTTTTCCTTGTTTTCCCTCTCCCTTTTGCAGTTAGTCACGCCTTCGTTTGTATGTTCTTCGCCTTCGTTTTCATCTGCGTCCTCGTCGGTGTTCTCAAAGGGTGGCCATGAGAGGGAGGCGGGACACCGACATCGATTTCGTGGTTCGTGTGCCTCTGGCTATCCGTGTGTCGGTCGCCCGCCCTTACATTTGTCGAGGGAGAGCCTGGCATCGAAGTCGTCGAGTAAGAAGACTGACTGTTTGTAAGGCCGTGTGTCTTTTTTGCGCGTGTGTCTACAGATCTTTGAACGACAGCATCACTGTCGAGGAGGAGGTCAGGTTCAACAACAGGACGGCAGACAACCCACTCCGTGTCCGCCCCGTTCGACACTATGTCAACACCATCTTAGACAAGGTATGGCCAGCTGTGTGTATCTTCCTTATCTAGATGTACTGTGTTGTGGTGTGTCGCATGTTGGTGAGTGTAGCTGGACAAGTGGGTTGAGATCCTGCGTGACGGCAATAAGCACCAGGGGGACGACATCAACGAGGTAAGAAGCGGTGAAGTGGATGTGGTGGATGGTTGTGTCAGATGTTGTGTGTTGTATGTCGTGTGTGTGCTCAGTTGGTCTACACGGTGCTCACCACCCAGTTCGTCCTTACGGAACAGTTCCGGCAAGACAAGTAAGTACGCACAGACGCACAGACAGACACACAGGATGGTCATACCGTCCTCCGTATCTCCCTCTCTCTCTGGGTTTGCAGAGCGGTGTTTGCCGAGGTGGGCAAGGTGCAGGAGCGCTTCTCCTTCTGGCTGACCTACATCATGCCCACGCTGCTCGACCGCCTCAACCTGCTCCCTCTGCCCGACGACCTCCACCACATGGACATCGACACACCGCCACACAACCATGCCCACCACCACCGCTCACACCACAACGCCATGCGACCCAGCGAGATGCGCGCCCGCTGCCAGTACGCCGCCCGGCAGGCGCACGAGGTGTGGCTGCGGCTGCTGGGCGACTACCTGGCCGACTCGACCATTTCGGAGGACGAGCCCGAGGAGCCGGTGGGCTTCTTCAACCTCTACAAATATGCCAACAAGACGCAGGTGCGCCGCAAAAGACGAAAGATAGGGGTGGCAGATGGTCCATGTTAATGTGTGTGTGTGTGTGTGTGGCTGCAGCTAGTAGGGTATTTGGGTAGTCTGATGGAAAGTCCGGTGTTGGTGGCCGAGGAGGACGGCCGGCGGGCGGCCATCGAGCGGCTCAAGGCCATACAGAACCAGGTACGTGTCTGTGGGCAGGGAGCAGCTACTCGTTCGATGGATGTGGTGTGTTGTGTTTTGTTGGTTCATTTGCACTCGTTCGTGTGCAGGTGCACCTGCATCCTGGGGAGGCGCCCAGCACACCCACATGACAGACAGACAGCGGGGCAGATACACCGACGACCCACCCACCCATGTGTAGCTTTAGTATCGGTTGGGTGGCTGGCCGCTGTGTGAGGTGTTGTGTGTTGTGTGGGTCGTGTGTGTGTTTAGTTGGTTCTGTGGAGTCGCCTGTCGCATCCGTTCCCATAAGGCGGCCATGGGCGGGCGAATAGCTAAGGCTCCCATACTTGTTTGTGATATGGTCGGTGTGGCCAAGGGCATGGGCATGGGCATCTCAAGCGCCGTCACACCAGCGCGCAGCCAGATCAGTCACGCACTGATCAACCACAGCACTGCCGACGCCGAATATGTCGCCCAGGTTCATGCCCTCATGTGCTCGTGCACTCATTTTCATTCGTTGTGTTGTGTTGGTTTTCATCAGGCACAGGTGTATCGTCATGGCCGAGCAGGGTCGTTGGTACACATGCGAACGCCATTACAACACGTACTTGTCGAAAGTCCCAGTGGCTGACGGCAAGAAGGTGGACGACTTTCTCCCTGGATCGGTGCCGCCTGCCACCCGTGAGCTCACGAGACACGACACGAATGTGTATGTGTGTGTGGTGTGCGATGTGAATGCAGGCGCCAGACGTGTTTTCTGGTGCAGTCCGAGGCCTACCTGTACAGCCACCCGCAGCACTGCATGGGCCTCGTGCGCTCTCTTCGGGCTGCGGACGGCCGCCATCGTCATCACGGTGCCATACGACTTCACCGACCAGGAGCTGCAGCACATCCTCGCCAAGTAAACCACGCAGCACACCAATCACACCCACCAACCATGCACCAGGCATCTGCATGTGATGAATTCATTCCTCGATCAGCCTGCTGGCAGCACACCCGCTCCAACCGGGCGACGACCTGCTGGAACATGCCATCGAGACCTGCCGTACGTACAGGCTAAGGATGGGGCTGGGCCGCCTCAAGCTGTCGGACACGACACTTATGGTAGAGGAGCTGATGGGATACACATAGATTGCTCGTGGTGCGCTGCATACGAGAAATCGAGCATTTGCCACAGCCAGGCGGCCACCATATACCAGCTGCGGCAAGGAAACAGCATGCTGGACAACCATCGAAGCACACAACAAGTGCAAAACGAGGATGTCTCAGCCTACCGATTTGACATCATTTCATTGGTCGTCCTCTCTGCTCAGATCGCCGCCTACATTTTATATATTCGTTGGGCAGTTTCATCATTGGACCCGCAGCATACACCATCTACGTGAATCGGACATGCTGTTTGTTGTTTGTCTGATGAATGCTTTGACGGATGCACTGCACGAATGGTGACTGGCTGCATGAGATGACATTGAGACTCTTGAGAGACGCACCTAATCTTTGATTGAGATCCCATGCCATCGATGCAACCAAAAGACATGGGAGCCGTCCATCGGTCGGTCCCCTCGGTCTGTCTACGATCTGGCGAGACACGTCACTGGCTGCTCGCACACAGGGCACGGCCCCTCCAAACGGCCGTCAATCGCGTCCACATTGACGAAACTGTTGAGCCACTCCTCCAGACACTTGTGGTGGAACGCACCCCCACACGACCGGCACACGGCCGACGGTTGGGCCTCGCCCTCCAGCTGGCTGCCGTAGCAGATGCCGCATGTCACCTCCTTTGGCCCATCGGATACATCCATCCCCTGCTCACCCTGCAGTCAATAAGCAAGAAAGGAAACGCCGTGAAGGTGTGTGAAACGGTGTGTTGTGTTGGTTGTGTTGTTGGCTCGGCTGACCGTGTGTGTGTCGGGTGGCATGAAGTGATGCTGCAGGATGGCCTCCAGGTTGCGTCTCGGGCCGATCTGGGGGTCCCATCTGTCGCGGTGCGCACTCTCATACGCCCTTTCGAAGGGCTTCCTTGCAGCTTCGGAACCCATGAACCCCACGTGCTGTCCATTCACCGACCTGGAAAGGACGAAAGAAAGAGGCAAATGTAGGTGCTGCTCGTGGCTGTGTGGTTTGGCTGGCCGGGTTATGTACTTTGGGTTGCGCGGGTCGAGGGTGAGCATTAGCGACACTTCCGAGGTCAAACCTGATGGATGGACACACACGGATACCTACTGTAGATTGCGGCTTCGTGTGGTTGTTTCTCTTCCACTTGTTTGCTCACTCACCCAGTCGCCGCCTGAGGGGCGCATATGAGGCCTGATGTGATATGTGAGGTGACCACACACGCCACACACACAGGAGGCAGCACGGGTGGTTGGTGTGTGTTGTGTGTACTTCCCATCGTCGTTTTCTTGTCTGTCGGACCTTTTTTGGCTCGATCACCCGCGCGTGTCTGTGTATGTCGTCGCAGACGTCAAACCAACCGCTGAGGCCATCGACGAACCCCACAGCATGTCGGTACACACACGCCAGGGGGTGGACACACACGTCACTGCGCACACACACACACACACACACACACACCCGATACATGTCAGGCACACCCCTTTTGCATTCTCTGCGTGCGTACGGTTTTGCTGTGACGGTGATGGGGTTGGGGAGTATCGGCAGGTCGCCGCTGATCTCAGCAGCGATGGCACGGGTCCACGTCCGCGACACTCCACCAGCAGATGGCTGCTGCTCCTCCTCGATGGCCTGGATGAACTGCGGCGAATACTGGACACGCAGTTCATGGGAGCGGCCACTGCTGTCCTCTACCAACACCTTCAGGCAAGACACCACACAGATGAAATGAATGCAAAAGGGTTAACGAATGGATGGAATGAAGGCGCACCCTACCTGTAGCTTGTCCCATCCTGGCGTGACGCTGACCAGTCGGTGCTGCCCGAGGGACTCCAAATCGCTGAGAATGCGGCTCATCAGCAGCACAGGAGACCGCTCCGGCCTGCACAGACAGATGCAGAATGGACACTATCCATCCATGAGATTGGCGATGTAATGTTGCAGTTTCAGCGTACGGACGCCGGAGGGTTGGGCGGGGAGATCCTGTCCAGTGTGGACTCCAGCTCGTGCAGGATGTTGTCAAGACCATCGCGGCCCCGCAGACGCTGACAGGTGACACCGACCAACAGCGCAACAGATGACCTTCTTCTTTTTCTGCCTCTGGCTGAATGGACGTGGCCCGGCCTACCTGTTCGAGATCCTCTTCACGGTCTTTGAGGATGTCGGCCAGCCGCTCATCGCCATACACTCCCACACACCGGACGCCGCCTCCACGCATCCCATCTGCAGCACGAAGGTGCAGACACACCTCCAGCTCACGACCCTGACAGACACCACAGACAGACAGAAGAGAACACACGTCAGATCCCTCAATATTCGCGAAGATCTGTGAATTCACCCACCCACCTCAAGCATCCCATGGACACAGAAGTCCTCGGACCGGCAGCCACCCTCCCCGTCTGCCGCCCTTTTGGTGCCTCTCGCCTGGCCGTTGAGGGCGCCACGAGGGCTGACTGCCGCAACTGGGCTCTCGGATGGCGGCAGCCGAGAGAGGAAAAGGCACCTCTCCACAGACATTTCTAGGTGTCGTCGATCGTTTCCTCGCCGCGGCCAGGAGTGCGCACGGCTCGGGCACACGAGTGTTCCGTTCACTTGGTTGCGTGATGAGAAGTCAAATCTTGAGGTTCATTCAACGGAGACACGCAGCTCAAGTCGCTCTCCTGTTGTCTTACTTCAGCAGCTTCTGTAGATCCTTCCCACTCTGTACGCGGCTTTCCCCTGCTTGGATGAAGAGATCGGCATGTGCAGAGGCCAGAATGACCCCGAGAAGCCACCGAAGAGAACGAGCAGGCGGGGCAAACACAAGTCAGCTCACTCTCTCCTCTACGCATCCATCCATCCATCCATCCATGTGTACACAAATCACAGCGCAACGAACACAGGAGGGCGGTAGAAAAGGCAAAGGCACCACCACTAGTGTGTCATCGCCGTGCATTCCGTCATGACTCGGCCACATTGACGAAGGGGTTGGATATCTCCTCCATCCCCTCAACTGGCGACACCAACATCACCTGAACTCACACACACGCATCCACGCAACGCAGAATCAGTGCGGTCGCTGTGTGTCTATGTGCTTACCGCAGTGCCTCTGGCGACCACCAGGCCGAGCTGGCGTGTTTCGTTGAGCAGCTTGAACGGATCATCGGGATCTGCTCCAGGGAAACACAGGCCAGTTGACAAGATGACCAACAGACAGATCCACCGAGTACCAGACTGTTGTGCGAGTGCGGTGCACCTCTGCGGTACTCCTCTGTGTCATCGAGGACGAGGTTGCACACCTGGTCATGGCCCTTCAGGATGCCCGTCACTGACGGGACATGCATCACAAGCATCCGACACACACACGCACAGTTTTCCCTCAAGCTGGTGCCGTCAGTGAGTGGGTGTTGGTGCTGACGCACTCACCTTCTCTGCCTCCGTTGAATTTGACTCTGACCCTCTTGTTGAGGTAGCGGTTGAACTCAAAGATGGTCTTCTGACCCTCACGCTTGCTCATGATGAATGAGATCTCAGCGGGAGGATCAATCAAACGAACAGATCTGCCTCTTCAGTGCCGTACTCGACGCGCAGATTGGCCGCCTCGCTCATCCCTCTCTGCGAGCTTTGTGCGAGCTTAGCTGATGGAAGAGGGAAGATCTAGCGCCGTTTCGCTATATGGATAGGCACCAGGGCACGCAGCAAGCCGATCGCCATCCACAAACGACCTCTTTCAATCATCCACAATGGGTCTTCTGGAGCGACATCTGCGGCTCCCTGCGAGGAGGGCCACAGCAGCAAGGCCGTGCGACGGTCCCTCTCTGCAGCCCGCGAGGCCGCCCTGCCCACGCAGATCTGCTGATGACGAGAGGTCTCTGTGCGGAAGACGGGGCTTGCCTGTGAGCAGCAGAGGAGCAGTTGAGCCTCCTCTTATCCCTTACCCTTCATGGCGGTCGAGGCGGTGGTTTTCCATGACTCGTACTGCAGCCGATGCGGATCCGCCGCGGCTTCTGAAGGAGAATCAGCACCAAAGGGTAAGTTAGTGGGAAGGCAGACGGGGGGAAGATCAAATCAGATCAGATTGGGGTGCATGGCTGATGCCTATGGGTGCTGTGGCTTCTTGCACACGATGCGTGCCATGCCATGCCATGCTGTGCCTGTCCTGATGCGTTCATTCCATCTGTGTGATGTGCGCCTCTGCCTTGGACTTTGTTGTCGGGTGGGGTGGGGTACCCTGCGGCATGCGGCAGCCGGCCTGGCCTCTCTCCCGCGTGACTGCACGACGGCCGTTCAGCTCGGAATCGGCCGCAACACAAGGTGACAGCCGGGAGGTTGCGGCTGCGTCCGGAGAGGGACAGTTGAGGCGGACACAGGGGTCTCGCAGGAGCGACCAGGACGGTTTCCATCGGAATGTGGAGCTCAATAAGATGCTCGGGGCCACACAGACGCCAGAGGAGGTCGTGAAGCTGCTTGAGGATGAGGGACGGAACATGGACACAGTAAGAGAACCAGATAGATACTCACACAGAAAACGAGGGCCTCCATGGTTGGATGTGTGTGTTGGGGGGGGGGGGGTGTCAGGTGAATTTGGTGACGGGCGTCCATCGGCTAGCCAAGTTCAGTGGGGGCAAGCAGGCTCGCGCGCAGTTCTACAAGCAAGGCAAGCACCAGAGTCTGGTGCGGGAGTACCGTCGCTCGACGGGCGGCGAGTCGCCCACGCCCGTCCATCAGCTGATTCTCGAGAAGGCCTCGCTGTTCGTGACGGTGCTGCGGCGCATCCAGAAGGACCTGCAGGGCGGCAGAGTGCACCACTCGGCCGTCAACCAGGTCATGACCAACACGGCATGGTCGCTCGCCACCCTCGGCTTCGACAGGGAGATGCTCGAGGACAAGTACCCCAGCCTGGCTATCGCCATCCGAGAGATGCTGCTGGCCATCGCTGAGCGAGCCCCCCGCAAGCTTAAGAGCTTTCCTGTCCAAGGCCTGTCGAACCTCGTGTGGTCTTACGCAACTCTGGGCCTCGACGGCGCGCCGCACGTCCGTCTGTTTCGCGAGGTGGCGCGAGAGATCCTGCGTGAGGGCCGCGTGGAGCAGTTCCATCCGCAGGGGATTTCCAACACGATGTGGGCGTTCGCGACCGTCACTGTGGAAGGTATGCAGATACAGACACGGGAAGTGAAGCAGCGGCTGGAGGACCCATCGGCCAAGGCACTGGCCCTCAACATGACCCCCCACCCGGCCACAGCAGCCACAGCAGCCACACTCGGCGAAGAGACTGCTACTGTCCCCGACAGACGGCGTGCGAGCGAGTGGGAGCTGACTGACGTCGATTTGCCGGCAGAGGTTGCACGGCCAGAGTGGGGGGCGGCCATGACGTTGCTGATGCGGCGGGCGGCAGGGTCAGCTGAGCACTTCAAGCCGGGGGAGGCGGCAGCAGTGCTCTGGTCGGCCGGCATCGGCTCCCTCTTCTGGGAATACCGGAAATGGAGAACGGCCACTGACAAGAACACCAACACCAACACCAACAGCAGCGAGTGGGCCACCCCACCACCGTCGGCAGACGAGTCGGCTCGGCTGTGTGATGCCTTTGCGGCTTTGTTGGGCGCGGGGCGTGTGATAGATGCCTTCCCTGCCAGTGCCCTCACAATCGTGGTCTCATCTCTGGTCAAATCCTTTGCCTCTGCAGGCGGGCGTGACGGAGCCACCGAGCGTCACCCGCAGCTGTTTGTCCGGCTGGCCGACCGGTTCACCCACCTCCTCACCACCAAGCCAGAAGACTTCTCGACACAGGACATGGCCCACACGGCTTGGGCGATGGGGCAGGTCACCGTGCCGCACCCGGCCTTCTTCGACGCCGTCGCACGAGCGGCCATCCCCCGTCTTTATGACTTCAGCAAAACGGGCCTTTCCCACGTCACATGGGCACTTGCTGAGGCGGGTCGGCTGGATGGCGACTTCCTCAATGCGTTGCTCCGGCACCTACGGTCACTTGGAGAGAACAGCGAGATGGTTGTCAAGACGTACGACATCGAGATGGTCAAGACGGTCGTCTGGTCGCTCGCATACAGCCAGCAGCTGGACCGATCCGACTTCGACTTCCTCGCCAAACAGGTCACGAGGTTCCTCGATGCGGCGCTGAGGGATGCCAACGGCGGGAGGGGCGCTGCGGTGCCGAAGCAGCCGAGGAAGGTGGACTTGTTGAGCGGCGACCCTCCTCGCGTACTGGCCGAGACGGAGAATCTGATGGTGAGTGGAGTGGGGGGAAGAGGGAGTGGGTGGGGCGGGGTGCGTGTGTGGTGTGGTGCTCTCACCCCCTGCTGCATTCATTATTGATGCATGGATGCCCGTATCTATCCATTGTGTTGCTCGCGAGGGTGGCTTTGTGTGCTGTGCTGCCAACCAGGCAACGACCCCTGCCCTCACAACAACCGGGCCAGCTCTCATCCGGCCGTCCTTCCAGCAGCAGTGCCGCTTCTTCTCTTACATCCACTCACACAAGAGGGACCCCTCCACCGTCACGACTCGTGAACCACCCCGCCCCCTTGAGGACATGCCCGACACACTGGCGTCCATCAGCTCCCTGCAGCTCATGCTCAACAACAGGCTTAGGGATGCTCACACTCTGGAGGCCTTGACACGGCTGATCGACCGGCATGCTGCCGACTTCGACCGCATCAATCTGGTCACAGCGGCCCATCGGCTGGCCAAGCTCAAGAAAGGTGGCAAGGGGAGCTCTGTCAGTGGTCCACACGAGATGAGGGTGCTGCAGCTGCTGAGTGCGGCCCTCGACAGCCAGCCGGGCAAGTGGCGGAGCCGCGACGTGGGCAACCTCTCATGGGCACTGGCAGTGTTCACCGAGCCGTCATCGGATAGTTCAGCATTGCACGAGCTGACTGACAGCATTATGGTGCGCATGGATCCCATCGTCGCAAGGGAGCTTCATCGCTTCATCCCCATCGAGACGGTCAACCTGCTGTGGGCCGTTGCCACTATGACGCAGAAAAAAGTCCTGCAGCCAGCCAACCCGCTCAGCAGCAGCCGCATCGAGAGCATTGTGGGCCGGTTCGTGTCGACCCTTCATGAGTGCAGCTCCCAGGGTGTGTCCAATGCCTTGTGGTCGCTGGCCATCCTTCACCGGCACGGACACCGCAGCCCCCGCCTATACGAGGCCTTTGAGCACATCAGCAAGGGGCTGTCAGAGGAGTGCGGCATTCCCCCTCTGTCATCCTTTTCGGCCCAGCACGTTGCCAACATCCTCTGGGCCTTCTCGTCGGTGCGCATGTGTCCCAGCCATGTGGTGGAGAAGCTCGCGAATGAGCTCGGCCAGCGGCTCGAGTCCTTGTCACCTCACGAGCTGACTGTCTTCATGGTCTCCATGGCCAATTTCGTAGCCAGCATCGACGGGCGGTCGGCAGCTGGTGATCGTGATGGTGGCGGGAGCGAGGCAGCCGGCTCAGCACACCCATCTGATCCCCTCACGGCTTTCCATGAGAGAGCGGCGAATGAGGTTCTGGCCCGTCTGCGGCGCTCCTCCATCTCGCCCCCACAGCTGTCCAAGCTCCTCTGGGCCTTTGCGGTCGCAGGCAGCTGCAGACACGCCACAGTCCAGCAGCTGTTCGCTGCGGCAGCCCTCCACATCCACCAGCACGTGACTGACTTCTCGTCCTCAGATGCAGCCGCAGCCGCTTGGGCTCTCTCCACCTCGCGAGTCCCTTGCCGCACCGCTCTCGAGTCGATAGCAACCAAGGAAGCGTCGAGGCTGCTGAGTGGTGATATCCGGCCTTACCGAGCGCAAGACGTCAGCAACCTTGTGGGCAGCTGCCGGCGGGCGGCTATCGACCATGAGCCGTTGCTGAAGGGTGCGCTGCGTCACGTGTCGGCAAATGCTCGGCACTATGGATGGAAGGATCTGGATGAGGTCGCTGGGGCTGCCATGGCGAGCGGCAAGCCAGTTGATGAACTGATCGACGTCAACACGGCACATGAGATCGGTGACACGGTTGCATCGCGGGTGGCCGATGAGCTGGAGAGGTCGGCTGTGAGCCTGGATGCCCTCTGCCGGCTTACCACGTTCATCGAGCGGCTCCTCACCACCCCATCAGCTGCCCCTTCCACCTCTTTCGCGCGGTTCGTGAGAGCGTCCGAGCGCATGTCGCACCAAAAGGCGCTGCTGCTGTCATGGACCCACCTGGCGAGCCTCGCGCAATCACACGCCAAGATGGCCGGACTGTGCGCCGACGAGGTCGTGTTCACTGGGGTGTGGTCTTTGCTAAGAGGAGAGCTGCTGAGCCGATCGGCCCTTCTGCCGTGGAAGGAGCCGTCGCTTTATCGGCGTGAGTATCCGGAGGCCGTGGTGCACCAACACCGGCTGCAGAAGTTCCTCCGTGGCTCATCATTCCCCCTATCACACGACGCGATTATGGATGCGTGGCGACGGCGGTTCCAGCTGGAGTGGGGGTGTTTCCATGTGTGCGTGGATGCGCTGAGATGTGCGCGTGTTCTCGATACAGAGTACTTGCATGAGCTGGCGGGGAGAGTCAGCCGTGTGGTGGGGAGTGGTGGCCAGTACAGTACCTCTAGCCTGCATCTTGCACAGCGAGACCGCCTGCATGACTCGCTCTTCTCTCTGCTGCCCGATGCTTCTCTGTCTGAGTGTCATGTGGTGGTGGCCAGGGGGTGAGAGCCTTTGTGCGTGATCTGTATGCCTGTGTGTGTGCACCCATCCACGAGGGAGCCGAAGGACTCACTGTTTCTTCCTCTCTGTGTGTGTGTGGTGTGTATCATGTCTGTGTGCAGGTCTTCTACAAGCCGCCAGGGTGGATAGTGAATCCCTACACCCCGTCAGATGGCATACTGGGCGGCCTCCACAACCAACGAGGTCAGTCACGTCACACACGCTCACACACACACACGTGTGCATGCATTCCCAAATGTATGTGCACACGTGAATCTCTCACACGGTGGGTCAGGGATGAAGAGGGACGAATCGGATGAGGCAGCTGACGACCAAGCCGACGACACATCCGACGCCCCTGGTGGTGGTGGTGATGATGGCCCTGGTGCGAAGGCCGGCTGTGTCGGCTCGTCGATGCTGCTGCAGCAGTGGGTGCGCGACCACTTTCCCAGTGAGGTGTCCAACGACCCACTCGTGTCATTCGGCTTTACACACAGACTCGACATACACACCAGCGGTGAGTGAGAATGAAGGGAAAAAGGGGCAGGGCGAGCCGCTCGCTGTGTGACGAATATGTATGTTCGTCCCGGTGGTCTCTGTCTGTGTGTATATCAGGTCCGATTCTCGTAGCCAAGACGTACAAGGGTTTCTACTACAGCCGGCTGCTGTTCGAAGCTAGATATGTGCACAAGGTCAGCCAGCCAGTGGCCAGTGGGGTGGGAGGCCTTGCAACGCGTCACCTCACTCACCGGTTGATGGCAAACTCGACGTGTCGTATCGTCATTCATTCGGTCAGGAGTACATGTGCCTTGTGCACGGCGACGTCGCGCCCGGAGAACACAAAGGTACACACAATGTAGTCACACAGTGCCAGAACTTCCGCGTGCCACCACGTGGCTGTCCGTCTGCAGTTGACGCGAAGCTCCGCACCAGCCGTGGCCCCCAAAACAGCCTCTTCACCGAAGTGTCCGACGCTGGAAGGGTAAGCGGGCAAAGGGAGCCACACACAGTTCCTCGACGTGGCCTGTGTGTGCCTGATATAGACGGCGCTGACCTTCTTCGAGGGGCAAAGGGGCTACCGCCACCCCGACACTGGCGAGGTGCTCTCACTGTGCCGCGTCAAGCTCGTCACTGGACGGACACACCAAATCAGGTGGGGTGAGTTATCATCATACCATGGTTGTCATGCTGCTCATCCATGTGGGCGTGTGTCTGTGAGGGCCACGTGCTTCTGACAGGGTGCATCTGAAGCATGCTGGCCATCCCCTGGTTGCCGACGCCAAGTACCTCGCCGGCACGGGCCTCGGCAACACCGACAGACAATGGTCAGTCGGTCGGTCGGCCAAATGAAATTGCACACAAGTCCAGTCAGTCAGTCCACACAATATGCTGATTGGTTGGGTGTTCTGGCTGTGCGTCTGTCTGTCTGTGTATCTGTGTACGTACAGGTGTCCCCGTGTGTTTCTGCACTGCCATCGGTTGAGGTTTGAGGATCTGTCCAAGGAGCCGACTGAGGTGGACTGCGGCCTGGCCCCCGACCTGCAGCGGGCGCTCGACACACTCGAGCCCGTCCAAGAGTGATGTGATACGTGGGATGCGATCGATGGGGATGGATGGATCCCATGGATGGGCGGATTGGGAGCTGCGAACAGCTCGAGTGCCGGCCAGATGCATCTTACAATGCTTGATTTTGCACTCACGCGAGGCAAACCGAAGTGCAGAGGCGAATGTAGTGGCTAGAAATGCAGCATGTACAGCGAAAGCAATGAGTGCAACCCCCGCAGAGATTCCGATCTTGCCCCCCACTCGCGGCTCGCCCCCCATTTGTGACAGATCAGATGCAGCCTCCTCCGCCTCAACGACGCCACAGTGCAGAGGGGGGTACAAGCCCGACCAGCCATCATGCCTCGGTACCAACGCCGATGCGACTTGCAATGGGCAAGACCAACAAATCTCTGCGAACGTGGGTGCCCGCATCCCGCTCGTTCGAGCAGCAGCAAACTTCCCAGGCCATCCGCCATGAAGGCCGCAGACGGAGCAGCGTGCCTCAGAGCCCGCCGACTCAGCGCAAGTCCGCCCTTGCACCTGAAGCAAACGCAGACAATAAACAGGATAGCGTCACGAGGAAAGGCAGGCGGTTCTCGATACCTTCGGACGAGAAGATCAGCTCACCACCCGGCCAGAGACTCTCCCGTCAGCTCAGCCCCAAACCGCCCACTGCAACACAGCCGTCCGTCCACTCGCCTTCACGCCGTTCAGCAAATGAGGGCCGCAACCCTCCCCCAACCACACCCGTCCCCCCATCTCGCCCACAGGCCTCCCCAGTCAGCCTCTCGACACTCATGCGAGTGCGGTCATACGCCAAGTACTGGCGCGCCAAGGCCAAGGCATCGGCGGTCAGCTGCCGCATGCAGGAGCTGGAGGAGAGGGAGGGGCGTGTGCGTGAGCTGGAGAGACGGGCGAGGCGAAGGACGGCTGCTGATGCTGACGTGGAGAGACGGCACATGGAGTGGAGCGATGAGATCATGAGCTCACTGGCGGCAGCTGAGAGGGAGGTGGAGGCGCTGCGGGAGACGAATGCCCACCAGGGGAGGAGGATTGAGAGTCTGCGCGAGAGGGAGACAGCATTGGAGGCTGAGGTTGAGGAGGGCCGCCAGTTGCTGGAGGCGCAGACACTCGAACATCGCAGAGAGGTGAAATGCATGGACGAATGGAACCGATCCATTCGTTCATCTGAGGAATGAGGCACGCCCTGCCTTTCCTCTCCTTGCGTCAGATGGACGCCATGCGTCAGAGTCTGGAACTTCTTGGCGACCGCCAGCACAGCCCACAGGGGTCATCGGAGTCTTTGCAGGATACAGACGCCCAGCAGGAACTGACGGCAGTGATGGAATCGCACAAGAGAAGCCAGGAGGCCCTCAGACGCACATGCAAATCATTGGAAAAGTAAGTATGTGGTGCCTGCTGTCTGTCTGCGCTGTCAGTCTGGCACCTCTCGTCGACTGAATGACCTGTGTTGTGTGCGGTTGCTGTTAGGGAGCGTCATGAGTTGCTGGACCGGATTCATGAGTTGGAGAGGCAGCTGGACACAGAGAGGGTGGAGAAGGACCGACTGGAGGGCGAGCAGAGGGACCACTTGGCGCGCATCGGCTACCTCCAGCAAGACCTGGATAACATGAGACAGAGGGTAAGGAAGCCAGATCTTGGCTCATTGAAGTTTCGTGTCTCAGATGAGTGTCTGTGTATCTGTGGATGTGTCCATGCATACATAGGTGCAAGAGTTGGATGAAGAGCTGGGCCACAGGTCCCGCATCCAGGCCGCCAACCTCACCAAGCGAGTCTCACTCGCAGACGAGCTCTTCCAGTCGGAGCTCCACAACGCCGCCAGGCGTCGTGTGGTCCGCTCACACACCACCGGTGCTGAGGGACCATTTGGCGGGGGCCAGCGGTCCCTCAGCAGTGTCGATGAGAGCGACGATGACTCAGACCCCCCATCTGACCGCCACGGCTCGCAAGACAGCAAACGGAGACAACACTACCAGTAACACAAAACACCACAAGCAGATCACCACGCACTGTGCTGCTCGCCTCTTCAGGCGCAGCAACACTGACACATACGGTAATCGCGAGAGTGCGCCATCCGGTGGCATAGCAGCGGCCACTGAGGAACAGAGGGAGAGTGACGCCGCTTCTCCGTCCGACCCGCTGCCGACGTCTCGCCAGATCGACCTGGAGGCGCTGCTGGCCAGGGCAAGGTGGAAGAAATAGCTCACGCAAGAAAGACTGAGGTCGACCTGAGGCTGATGGTGGACAAACTGGAAGCCGAGAACAACCAAGTGGGTGTGCCCTATTCGTAGAATCACACAGATGCTATGCTTCCACTCATTCACTTGGTGTATGTGTGTGCGTGACAGATGAGAGCCGAGCTGGAGAAGGCATATGCCCAACCTGAGGTGGGAGGGAAATGAGAGAGGGACATGAACACCCTCATGTCTCCCCCTCTCTGTCCCTCTAACAGTCTCCCATTCTGCACACGCCACCTCCACCGAAAAGAGCAGCGCGGCCCGGCGGGACAGGTGCGGACCACAACTAAGCCGCGCATGCCACACTGTTTGAATCCGACGACCAGCCTTGCTGCCTTCGTCTTGTTTTATCAATCAGATGGCATATCGAGCAATGGGCCTTTGGTGGATGCCCTCAGCCTTCAGGCACAGCGGATGCTCGCACCAGCAGACCCCCAAATGCCGGACCCAGCCACACGACACCAATCCGCTGCCGCAACAGCCGCTGTTGCTGTTGCCATCAAGGCCCCACCGCCCAGGCTGGTGTCGCGAGGGTGCAATGCACCAAAGAGGAGGAACACCCGCACTGAGTCGCTTGGGAGCGACCCCAGACGGCGAAGACGGTCCGTGAGTGGCGCAAAGGTGAGCGCACCGGGTGCTCTTCCCAAGGCCTCGCCGCCATCCGAGCCGGGCGTCCCTCACTGGGCAGCCAAGGGGCGAAAGCGGCGACAGGGAATGGGCCAAGAAGATGCAGATCCCTCGTCGCCTGCCGAACGACACGCTGCCCTGGTGTACCAACCCCAGGCTGCCGAAGCGATAACCTGGAGTCCACCCCCTGCATCCCCTAATGGGCCGGTATGCCCCACATCAAAGCCATGGTTCCAGCGGCCTTTGTTTGATTCGCCGACGCGCGGCATGAGACGCATTGTCAACGGGAGGCTACAGGTATGTCAATGGGACTCGTGCGTGTGCATCAATGGTGTCTGCAAGTGCATTGTGTGTGACTTGTGCCCACAGGACCCGTTCTCTCCCTTCCCCGTCCCACCGATGGATGGCTCACATCCTGCCCGCCCGAACCTTGCGGTGTGCAGACGTGACACCGACGAGGGCTATCAGGTCAGCGATGCCAATTCACGTATGTATGTGTACATGTTGGTGATGTATGTGATATGTCTCGTCTCACCTTGCGGCTTCAGACATCTCGCTCTGCCCGCGTGTGCGTCGTGAGTCACGCCAGCCCCCGTCCGCCGCCCGTGCGGCTGGTGTCTCTCCCGCCGACGCCGCGCATTCAGACGAGGCCCCTCCCCGTCCACCCATTCTGTCCACACGCCCCTCTACCCTCGCCATTCCCGCCACTAGCCTCGCCGAGACCGAACATCGCCCGGCTGAATGCCGTCGGCTTCGCCTCACCTCGGCCGAGCCTGCCTGTGTGTGAGGAAGGAGTCGTGCAGACAGTCGGTATGGGCCGGCCGAGAGTGTTACTGGAGGAGAGTCCGGCTGTCTCGTGTCAGAGGATCGTCTGCTGCTCTGCGACGTGACGTGGATGCAATGCGTACCTTTTCCACGAACGTTGTGTGTGCATGCCGCTAGTGGTGCACTGACTTACCTTACCTGATGGCTGTTGATGTGTGTGCACATGAGCTCATTTCGTGGTGTTAGCTATGAGTCAGGCATTCGTTCATCCATCCATCAAGTGCGGCCCGTGTCTGTCTGCATAGTGACGACAAACTCGCCCCCTGTCCCCTGCACCGCAGCTCAGCTGGCCGGCAGCCACGCCCGTGGATCTGCACGAACATGTGACGCCAGCCAGGTCAGTCGCGTGACAGGAAGGCAGAGCCACTCATCAATGGGCTTGCTATATACAACATGTGGATGCATTGCAATCAACAGTCAGCATTCAGTCAGTTAGAAAAAAAACGGCAGACAGTCAAGCGCACACACAAGGAAAAATACAGCACAGAAACGATACATGACGCAGCTAGCTAGTGCGATGCATAGTGGAATCCCTCAATCAACGCCTCACTCACTCTACACAAGCCCGAAACGAAAAAACCATACCTCTCATCCCAAACACGCCCCTCGCTGCTGCCCACACCTTACGCCAGCCCACCCACTCAGGCATCCGAGACAACTTAACACAGTCCGCAGACAGACAGACAGACAGGCAGGCAGACAGGCGACGTTCAGGCAAACTCAGCACGGTGAATGAAACACAAATCACGCGAACCACCTGACGGTCCATCACATCAAGGCAGCGTTTCTGTCTGAGGCGTGCAGCAGACAGGCCAAACAAGAGATCGGGTGTCGTGTCGTGTGGTGGGCTTGCCATGCCATGAAGGGCGGTTTGGTGCTCCGTACTTGCCAGTAGGGCTATGTTCGTTCGCCGCCGAAGGATGCAGCCTTCTTGAAGGATTGAAGCGGCACGTTGCCGACATCACTGAAAGCACACACACACACATTCAGGTATGGACCACACTGATGCGTGTGCCTGCCTGAATATCTTGTTCGGCATCTTTGTGTCCTCCTCCCGTTGCTTCTTGGCCTCAGCTTCACTCAGCGGCTTGACGAAGACGGCCTGCTTCTTGGAATGCACATCATGGCCGAGATGGGTCAGGAATGACGGCAGCGGCGGCAGATGAATTGCGTGGAACATGTCCGAGAGTGAGTGAGCGCGGCGTGTGGGCGCCTCGGCCGGCGGCTTCTTGAAGTCCTGCAGTCCCTGGTTGCCGAACGAGTCATACACCTTCTCCATCGCCGAAATGAATACCTACAAAGTGGCTGATTGCTTCCTAGGGTGCTCCCTGAAACCGCTGCTCTCTGAAACCGCTGGAAGGAGAGAGACTTCGGGTTGAAAGATGGAGAATCTGTTCACGACCATCCCGCCGCCCGTGGCGCACAAGAAGGACGGGCAGCTCACTCAGCAGCAGCTCGAACAGTTCTTCACAGACGGCTTCGTCATCCTCCCTGACTACATCACCCATGAGAAGCTGGAGGCCTGCAGGGGCGCCATGGACGCCATGGTCGACACACTCGCAGACAAACTCTACAAAGCTGGTACGGTCCGTACAGCAGCAAGAGAGAGAGGGAGGGACAGCCCAGCCGGGTGTGGTGTGTAAGGTGCGTGTGCTGTGTGTTATTTGTGCAGGCAAGATATCGGACAGGTGCGAGGGGTACGGCTTCCGCGACCGACTCATACACCTCGACAAGGCATTCCCCGGAGCGGCGGTGCTCATCCACAAGGCCACCAGATGCCCCGACGCCTTCAAGGCCATATGGTTGGGGACAGCCAGTGCAGGAAGGGCCAACCAGCCCATCTATCTGGGTGTTGTGTTGTGTGTCAGGTGCGACGAGCGTCTGTTGAATGTCGTGGAGCAGCTGATCGGCCCCAACATCGCCGGCCATCCCGTGTGGAACCTCCGCTCAAAGATTCCCCAAAACGAGGTGCGTCAATGCGTCACGGGAGTGACGTGACGCACCTCTCGTGGTGTCGTTCGTGGTGTGTGTGCAGCAACTGACGGTGCCGTGGCACCAAGATGCTGCTTATCTTTCACCAGAGGCGGACCGCACCCTCACCGTCACTGCATGGGTGCCCCTCGTTGACGCCAACCTGACCAACGGTTGCCTGCAGGTAGGGTAGCCAGCCCACGGCAGCAGCAGACAGCCGCGTGTGTGCTGGGCAATGTGTGTGTATGTGTGTGGTCAGATGGTGCGTGGCGGTCACAGGAGGGAGAAGGTGGCTGAGCACGTCTGCTGCGCGGGCAACACCTGGTACGTCGACCTCCCTGAAGACGAAATGCAGCGCACTCTCGGTAGCCACATGGACAGACAGACAGACAGAGCGAGAGCAGCCAACACACCCACCACAGCACACTGAGGCTCTCTCTCTGGTGGGCAGGTGTGGATCTCTCACGAGATGTGGTGACCTGTGAGTTCGGTGTGGGCGGCGTGCTGCTCTTCAACAATCTCATCCCTCACCGCAGTCTGCAGAACCGATCGGACGGCATCCGATGGAGCCTCGACCTTCGCTGGTTCAACCCCACTCAACCCACCGGCTTCTGGGGTACATACACACACACACACACACCACCCCCTCCCCCACCCTCACACCCTATCAACGAACGAACACATGTGTGTGTGTCCTTCATGCCATGCAGGTCTGGTGCCGCCCGTCATGATGCGCGACGCGAGCCGGCCGGGACTGTCCATTGACTGGTCCAGCACCGAGACCGACCGACACACCACACAGGGAGGCGGCAAGGGCGAGACTGAGGTGGCCGGTGGGGATGGTGACGACAGCGAGTTCGACACGACGAATGGCGGGCCGTGGATGGAGAGGTGGCGCGTGACGCACGAGAACCGACACACCAGGGCATACCTCGACAGGAAGGCCAGCAAGGGCCGGTGGACGGGGGGCCAGTGATGTGATGGCAGCGAGTGGAGTGACGGGGCACGTGCGAAGTTGCTGTCGAATTATCTATCTACGCGCGGCGGCCCGGGTGATATTTCGGCGGGGTGGATCGGATGGTTGGTGGGGGAGTTGGGTGTGGGAGGCTGCGTTGTTGATATGGGTAGGGAGGGTGCTGATGTGATGTGATGTGATGTGTGATGTGACGTTGAGTGAGGCCTCTGCGTCCGTGCCGTGCTGTGGAAACCGCGCACAAGTTTTCCTTCCTGTGTCTGTCTGCCTGCTCGTTTTTCCGTTCGATCCGCTACGCAATTATAGAGACGCAGAAGTTCTGTCTAGAGACGTGGTCTGTCTCTGCCTATGAGTCCTTCAGAGAGAGAGAGGGAGAGGGAGAGGGGAGGGATGGATCCGTCATCCATCCAGCCAGGCAGGTAGGCAATAAGAGGAGCACCCGCCCCACGTGCGTCAACACGTGTACGGGTGCGCTTAAAACCTCTCAATCGGTCGCCTCGTTCGCTTCGTTCCGTAGAGTTACATACACACACAGACACAGACAGACAGACAGAAAATCCACAGAGATAGAGAGGGAAGTGGTCAGTGAGACATGGATATAGAGGGGGCCGGTGTGTGGCGCGGCACGGCACGCTGCATGCTCCATGGCTGTATGGCTGGCTAACAAACGCCCGTATGGCTACAGACATACCATATGCAGAGGAGCAATGAATCATACCGTCGACCGCTCTCGAATACACGGAGGGAGGCAGAGCAACACAGACATCAGAGATCGACACAGACATTAGAGAGGGAGAGAGGAGGGCTGAAAAAAGATGGATAGATAACACACGCAGGCCGTCTGCATGCCGGCAGGCATTCAGGGAGGGAGGGAGGCAGGCAGGCAGCCAGTGAGGGGTGAGCCTGGTTCGTCATCCATCCATCCCTTCATTCAAAGCGCCACCTCACACACGCACTCGATCGCTCTCACATGAAGGCAGCATGAGATGTACCCCAGCTTCCTCACACGCACCGCATCATCATCACAAAATCACCCAATCCCCCAGACCCACCCTCCCCT